GGGGCCCCCCAGCAGCCTAGGCCTATAGCAACATAACTAAGGGAAGGCTCAGGGTCACCTGATCCAACCCTAACTATAAGCTTTATCAAAAAGGAAATTACAGCCAATGAGGGACAAGATGCTGGACAGTCAGCTCCAGGTCACCGCCTAAATCTTCATTGGTCATGTACATATCTGAAGTTTTATGCCCTGTCTTAACAGGACTGGCACAACATACGGTCGAACAAAAAGTATTTGTGCTTTCCTTCTTGAGTTCAGACATAACTTGTTTGGGCAATGTGAACACAGTGAGTATAACAGGTGAAGTGTTTGCACCAGCGACTTGTAACAGATCGGTAGAAGTACACGGCCACATAGGAGCAGAGCTTTTAACACCTGTTTTTAGTTCCAGTTAATGCTACAGCACAGTGGAAAAACAGACCAGACCAGAACCGATGTCTTCTTCTTACCACAGTCTGTAAAAGGCTTTCTGATGTGGTCTGTGCAAGTGCACAAGAAAGGAAACGGTCTTACTTCCTTACCAACAATGCAGTTAATGTCTCAGAAACTCAAACGCGGAGAGAAAAGTACCTAAAAGTACATGTGAAATATTCTCATGTAACACTGGGAACCTTCTCAGCCTGGTTGTACAGATTTCAAATGAATTCACTTCCAAATACAGAGTGTACAATGTTTGGTTTTCATTAGACACCGAGTCCAAATTATTAAAAAAAACAACTAGAAATAACCAACTTTCTGCAGGCTCCTGGTTCCAGCCAAGAAATGGTCACATACATAACCCCAGACTGAGCCAGGCCGGTTGGCCCCCGTTTCCAGTCTTTGTGCTAAGCTAAGCTAACAAGCCAAATCACCCCGGAGAAGTAACTTTCACCAGCTGAGTGAATAAATCTATTTTCCAAAATGTCAAATGATCATTTAAAGTGTATTTTCTACAGCTGAAGGTTTTTAAGCTTTGACTTTTGTGCACAACAGAGCAGGTTACGTTTTGGCATGAGAGCGTTAATACACCCAGAGGTGGAAGAAGTACTGTGATTCTGATACACAAACTGCTGAGGACAATGTCAATTTGAACCAGAGCAGCTACTGAACAGATGAAGCAGACACCTTTTCAGCTGCTGCCTCCGAGGTCAAGCATTAAAATCCCAGATTTTTAGAGCTAGAAAAATGCAGATACCTTTATTATTGCATTTATCTTTTGCTACAAGTCGTACAAACTGCTGTGCATTAACTGGTGCAACTACGCTGACTGAAGAGAGGATGACAACGTTTTCCAGCAAAAACATTTTGCTTCTTTATTGAGAAATTAAATTCAGACAGGTGACTTGGAAGGTCACAGCACTACAAACAAAATCACACCTGACATTACAAGCTTGCATATTCCTACTAGTATTTCCTTCTGCAAGACCCTGCACCCAGAGCTTTGGCAACTTCATTTGTAAACTGAAAATTTACATTTGGAAAAGAAAAAAAAAAAAGGTTTCCATGAAGCACAAACTTCATGGAACTAGCGGGAGGTGGTGATGTGTTTCTGCCGGGCTCAAGCAGCAGACAAGCAAAGTGGAAACATTTTGACTTAAAGAAAAATCAGTCAGTACATTGACTGTGTGTTGGAAAAATCCAACAATCATACCCGATCCACTCTTCGACCCACTGACATGCCCTCAGGACCACTATTCCCCACAACAACAGAAAAATCCGTCTTCACCAGATTTCCTTATTTGATATTATAACATTACTTTTTATTTTTACGTGTACATCATCTCAGCCATGTGTGACATCTTCTTGGGGATGTACAAATAATACTCCAAGTAGCCAGAAAGGTCTTCTATCGTGATGTCGTCAACGTATGCCCGTGCCTGCTCTGAACATGAGCGAGGAGAGCCTGACGACAACGCCGCCGCCGATGATGGAGGTGACGGAGCTGTGGCAGTGGTACAGTTGGTACTGAGAGTTCTGGGGGCGTCGGCGTGGCTCAGTAGACTGCGCTCACACTCTGAGATAACGCTGCGGAGCCCCGTGAAGGAGTACACCTCCACACCATGCCAGGCCTGAGGATGGGAGTGGCACTGGCACTGAGACTCAGCTCCCGACCTGCTCTCTTCCTGGAAATCTGAACTGTTTCTCTGAGCGCAGGAGCAGGAAATGAGCTCCGATAAAGCGCGGAAGTCAGCAGCTTCAGCAGGTCCAAATCTCAGAGGGGCTCCTGCTCCACACTCTGTTCCAGCACAGACACTTTTCTCTGGGCCACTTTGCTTGCTTGACTGGACGTTTTCAGAGCTTCCCCCATCCTGCCTGGGCGATGTTGCAACAGCAGTAATAACACTGGGGATCTTTTGTGCAGATGCTGAGGAAACCACAGCTCCATCCAGTCTCTCATGCCCAGCACAGGACCCAAAAACCAGAGGAGAGATGTAGCTGGTGGTGGCTGAAGAAGAGAGCTCTTTCTGGGCTGCAGAGGAGGCTGTTCTCCCATCGACTGCAGGGCAAGGCGCTGTAGGCTCAGGCACGGCCAGGCGCTGGTGCTTCAGGCAGCCACTAGAGGTCGACAGTACGGAGGATGCAGCGCTGCTGCAGTAGGTGAACTTTGGGGGGTGGAGGATGGGGGACTTGGATCTCCGACGCCGCTGGGTTCTGGATGCTCCCTTGGAAGTTTTCCTCATAGATCTAAAGATGGAGAGAGAAACAGGGAAGCCAGAGGACAAAGAAGGGGGTAAGATAATGGAGAGAAAGCCAAATAAAAAATGTGTAGAAGAAAATGTTATGACAGTGTAACTTCACTGCATCTTCACAAAGCTGTCCTATGATATGCAGCGTTTGTGTGAAAACAAAACGGGACCACATTAGAGTTTCCAGGTTGCTTTTGTAAAGAGCTATGTCCACAGCTACACAAACAGCTACATCAGATTATTCTTTTTCCAGTCAGCATCACAGCCAAACTCCAGTGAGGACTTGGAGACAGCCAGCTGATAAGCTCAACAGCTTACTGATCAGCTGTGCCGTTATTTAAAATGCATACTTACAGGGAGTGCTGGAGACAACAGCAGGCTACAGGCTACAGCAGTGTTTCCCCTATAATAGTACAGGGATGGCAGATTGCCATCCCAGCGACATCCTCTATCATCCTCTTGCCACTGTGCCTGAAGAATTTTCTGGGAGAAACACTGTACAGACCAGAAGGTTACTCTGCAGAGTGTCAGCCTGTTAAACCTCTGGTCTGAGTCCTCATGCTCTTCCAAGACCTACACATCAATTTGTCATGTAGTTGTTCTAATTTACATATTTTTCAGTTTCTCTGTCAAACAGTGAAGGAGTATAAAATAGTGATTCTATACCAGCCATTGTTTCCACTGCATACATTTTACAGTGACTGCCTGCCACTGCAAAATTATTGCCACAACTGCTTCAGAATTTTATGAAATATCATAATATCCCAATTACAACTCTTCAAAGGGCTTTTAATTTGAAGTGACGGCTACAGGAAGAGGAGACATAAAGCGACACCCGGCTGAGGCAAGGGGGGGGAGAGAGAAAGACGGAAGAGTAAAAGACAGAAGAGATGACGGTGATTGGAGTTGTTAACATTAAGTCAGACAGATTTTAGTTTATCCCCAACAACCCATCGGACACAGTATGTCCAGATTCGTTGATCCCACAAATTCATATCACTCCATTTTGCCCTGTTATGAACCACATGCCAAAATAAATGGTATGACCAGCCCTTTCCAAACATGCTAATATACTTGCTTGTGTGTGAAATGAATGTTTGTGAAGTAATCAGGTTTTGAAATGATATAAAACTTATACAAATGAAAGGCTATCATTTCAAATTCTGGTATGTCTGGATAGTCTTGACTGTCCTGGAAAAAAAACTGATAACTCTCTATTTGTGCTTGATCTCAATAAATATGTTCTAAAGCTCCTTTTGCAGCTGAGTTTTAGTGTGTTATTTTTTAGAATTATGTATTGATATTTATTCCGACAGCTGGCATATATGGCCATATATAGCCACCCGGTGTCTGAGACACTTATTTAAATGTACCAAACATGTTCAGTCAAAGGCCCAGTTTCCATATATCAAACTTTTAATCACAACAGAATCATTACGGTAAGAACTTAGGAGATGTAACGTTGACTGACAGATTAAAATCTTTGAACACTCTTTTTAAAAGATGACATATCTACCAGCTGAGCAGCAACCGCCTCAACCTACCCATGCCAGCTGTCCTTCGGGCAGCTGATCTTAGGCTTTGCCCCGCTGGCGTCAAGACCAGGTCGTGGTGCTGCTCTGGGAGCCAGCACTTCTGAAACACTGACAGCTCCAGGTAGACTGGGAAGAAGAGAGAGACTGCAGATTTAACACTCACTATCCACATCCACTGTGGGATTAAAGAAAAAAGATACACTGGTAATCAAGTGTTTCCAGGGACTGTAACAAAAACTTGAGTTTTCCAGGGTGTTCATGACTATATGAACCTGGATGGTGCCACTAGCCAGCATGTACAGTTCATGGTGACAACAAACTAGCATTTTAAACAATTTACCTCTCAGCATCAACCCTCAGCTTCTTAAAGGCTGTCTGCAGTGTTTCCTCTTCACAGTCCTTCCCTCCTGCCTCCATGATGGTTGGAGGCCGCTCTGAGCAGCCACCCAGCTGAAACACACAAAAGTGAAATCATATCAATCAATCAATCTTATTTGCTTAAACAATTCCAACAGGTCTGGTATCTCACTATTTTACACACTGAACAGTTTGTGCAACACCAAGCTAAAGTTTTAATGCCCCCTACCTGACTAAGGGTTAATAGGTGGACTAAATAACTAACTGTGACTTACAATTAACAAGTGCATTAGGGACTAGAGGCGAAGCTAACGACTTTCACAGATTAATGTCACTTTCTTGATTAATCGTTTCGTTTGTATAATGTCAGAAAGTGTCGCAAATGCTCATCCGGGTTTCTCAGTCCGAGGCGATGACCTCGGGTGTCTTGTTTTGTCCAAAACAGTAAAAACCCCACCATATTCAGTTTGTAATTACAAGTTTGCCCGAAGAAACCAGAAAATGTTTAAATGAAACTGGAATCGTGTAATTTTGACAGTTTCCTTCTTCAACAACGGCCCTAATCTATCAAAATAGTTGAACGAGTGGTCATGGTAGCTCTAACTTAATAGACATGCTGTCAAACGCATTGATTTGCTCATTTTATGGTCTTCTTAGGTGCACAAGTTGATTGTTTTACATGATCCCGAATAATCCTGAAACAAAACCACAGGGGAAACACTGTAAACAGTGAACTTCATAAGTACTTCCACGCTATTAGCTAATGCTAACAAGTTATTTTGACTGCTAAGCTAACTGTTACCCTGCCACAGGAGGTTGTTTTAAACGTCTATGAACAATTTGGAAACCTTATAAAAGATGAAATGTAATACTCACGGTTCAGGATATCCTGGTAGCAGTAAAGAGAAACTATACCCAGGGCATAAAGAGTGTTTACTCGTAACAGGCCCTCAGATGTTGACTTGCCAGCGAAGCTAACGACGGCTAAGGCAAAGCTACAGGGGCTGACTGGCTAGCTAGCTAGCTAGCTCTGTACGAAAACACGACCTGTACTTTTACTGAGACTTCGTATGGATGGTAAGAGTCATATCATACCAGAACTCTCTATTTAATATCCGCTTTGGTTAACAACAGGAATGAGCAACACAGACGTTAAGTCCTGATTCTGGACTTTTCTATGTCCGTTGTTTACAGTCGCAGTGACTCTGCAACAACGCACTGCCCCGCCGACGTCACCAGCCCAAAACACGCCCACTGCTGCCGTCACTGTGTAGCTCATGGAATATTCTTCTTCTTCTAATAGATTTCTGGCAGGCTGTACACCATGAGGTGTACTCGAGGAATACTCTACTATCATGTTTCACACAATAACTAAACGCACCACAGCTTGGTATGGTAACATTATATCTTTGTCATAGCGATGTTTCTGGCAGTTTGTAGGCCAAAGACATGAAGTCTGAGTGGGGAACACAACAGGAGGCCTTTTGGCCTACATTGCTCTTACATAACAGGCCTCCATAAAGCCTGGAGAATAAAGCTTGGCTCTGCCCTAGAGTTACTTTTCTTACAAGAACTTTAAGGGTTACTTAAATATAAACAGCACGCAAACCAAATATAGACCTACATTATTTGAAAAATGCAATTTTTTTTCAAAATAACCAAAGATGTGTCATTTCCACCATTGTTTAGATTTGTAAACATAGTCACATTTTGGGTTAAAATCTTTTATTTTTGTGTAGTGGACAGAACATATTTTCTTTACAAATAGGCTAGTTAGTTGAGTCCTTGAGACTCTGGACCTATCTTCACTAAGTGAAGCCCTAAGTGATATTAAACACCCTTCAGCATCAGAGAAGTGGATGTTTACCACTGTGACCCCAGAGGCACAAACTGGGCTGCCACCACCATACAACTCATGTTACACTTTACCCGAAGGAAGTAAGCAAACAGTGATTTTTGAAATGAACAGAGATCATACATGAAATAAAAAATCCCTACAGTGACACAATTGGCACAGAAAATTTGACTCAAGAGATCCTTTGCCCCTGATGGTACTTTTCTGGCAGTCATTTAAAACTTTAACACTCACATAAATATAAACATATAGCAACTAGTCTACCACAATAAATTTGTACTATCAGTCAGTGATAGAAGTCATAAGTAGTAGACAAACTTGTCAGCTGATTAGGAACTACAGACAGTCTAATCCAATAGTCCTGCAAGAAATCCTCTGCATGGAGGTGCATTTTTTGTCCAAATGCTCATTTCATAAATAGCTTTCTCAGTCATTTTTCCATGAAAGGGATTGGTATTTAATAATTTATTATTGGAGGTTCAATCAAATAACTATATTATGGTGAGAAACATGTGGGTAAAGAGACATATATATATACTTGTACATAACAAAGTATTTGCAAACACTTTTTCTCTTTTGGCTTTATTACTGAGATCAGGAGCAATGTGCAAACAACAGTGCCATCCAGTGATAATATAAGAAAACAGCAATACATATACATTAAGGTTCAAAACAAGGGATGTGTAAATAAAACAAACGAAAGAAAAAATGCAAATATTAGGTTATATATAAAAGGATATTAAAAACAAACAAACAAAATTTCTGTGTGTCTGGAGGTGTGTGCCGGAGTACCAGGGCCTTGGGCAGCTTTCTTATTTGTGTGAGACAGTGGTGATATTATGTTCTAGTTCTTGCAAAAATACAGCAGAATTTGTTCGGTAAATTTACATTTGTATGTCTGTGCAGATTCTCAGTCATCCAGGTCATAGTAAACTGAAAAAACCTTAGAAAAACTCAACTGGAACTGTTTAGAAATCTAAGTCCAGTTGAGTTTTTCTAAGGTTTTTTCAGTTTACATTTGTATGACATTTTCATATAATAGCAATTTCAATTTATACGTAAAACAATTATTTATCATTATTTAGGCATTAACAATATACACTGATTTAACTTTTACAAAAGCATTAATGCTGGCATGTAGTGGAAAATGATTCAAATAAGTACAATTATAAATACAGGAAAGTATTTTTCATAGAGATTTTTCTCATATTCGTTCTCGTTTAAAATCTTATATTGTGGTTATTCCAGTAATAATTAATACAAATTGATTTCACTATTGGATGTTTGACTTCTAGAAGATCCCGAGGAAGTGGCGGTGTTTTGCATGGTCTTATAACATACAGTATCTTCAGTGCCGCTGACCGAAGGATGCCGTTTCAGGTTCTGTAATATACTTAATGATCTCACATGTTCCGTTTTTGGCTTTTTTACCGTATGCAGATACGTTATGAGAGCACAGAGCGGCTGTGGACCAATCAGAAGGCGCCAACTGGACGTTGTTCCCGGAATGTTCTGCCTCCGTCCAATCAGAGTAAAATGCGTGGAAGACTATAGAAAGGGTCGGATTGTTTGACCAATAAGATTTCGGTACAGTATGACGTGGCACCGGGAAGCTCGTACAATCACTGCACTTTACCGGTGTCTGTAGCTGTTCATGAGCTATACAGAGCTAAGTGTTTTAGCGGCGCTTTAAACATAAATCCATCTGAGTTATTTTAGCCGAAATGTTGTGTTTAAGCGGGTTGTCGGTGGCTTTCGCGCTCGCTCTGGTGCCAGGTCCCGCTGAAGCCCTGAGAGAAGGAGACTGTGAAGGTAAGTCTGTCTGTTAGCATCGGTTAGCTTGATTACCACCTGGTGGATGTCTGGATTCAGTAACGGCAACTTTGTAAGTGTTACACAGAACGTACATGGCGTGATATAGATCCTGGACCGTTCATGTGAAGGGTAGAAACAGCTGGTGGTGATGGGAGGCGGTTTAAGAGGCAGCGTGAGATGTGTAGGCTGCGCGATGCTCAGGTTTCCAACTGCAAAGGCAAAAAAGAGGGTAACTGTTCCTCCGCGCTATCAGCTTACTACTTATAAAGAGCGTTGTGTCATAAAAACATAGGACAGGAAATAACAATTGTTCTGTGGCGTCTGAGTCACAGCAGCCCAGAACGAAACCCACCTGTAGGTACCCCACCTCCACCACCCCGGTACAGTCTGTACCTATCATTTATTATTATTATTCACAGAGCTAAAGGCACATTTCTCTGATAGATAAACAGCCAGAGATGTTTTAAAACGTCTTTTAACAAAACTGCGGTCAAATCAGCCGCCGTTCAGTTTTCCATGGTCAAGCCAGCCGCGCTAGAATTTGAAGTGCGCCTATATACTCTATATACTTACATTTACGGTAAAGGTATTGAAACGGGCCAAAGCTCGCGATTTTCAAAATAAAATACCTTAACTCCAATGCTGTATTTTTTATGAACTTTCAAGTTTTAATAAAAACACTTTTTCAAATATTTACAGCATAAGGACATCATTTATAGATTCTACATGACCCGCACTGTTACCACATAAAGAATCAAGCATTTCTACTGGACCATTCTGGAGAAAACTCACATTCCATGTGCAAGATGTGACTGTTTGTCAGATAAAACAAGACATCTGAAGGTTTCACCAGGGCTCTGGCAAATCTCACCAAGCATTTTTGCCATTTTATTGAGAAATCCAGTAGATTTGTCAGTGATGAAAGTAATTGTCACTTTCAGCTTTAAATTATCCAGCCTATATAAACATCGGTGCATTAATGTGTGTTACAGCTGTTAAATGGTGGAGCTGTAAATGTACCAACCACTACAAGTGTAGTGGAATAAAAAGTACAATATCTCCCTCTGAGATGTACTGTACTGGAATAGAAAGCAGAGGTATAAAGTACCAGATAAGAGAAATAGTCTGAAGTAAAATTTGTACTTCAGTACTGTACCTGAGTAAAGGCACTTGTAAATTTAATCATCTGGATGAAAAATATCCTGTCAGTTTCACAAACAAGTGTTTTTGTTTCTATGGTCGCAACTGTCCCTCCACATGTGCCTGGAAACAGCATTTTGTGCTAGAATACAAAACAGTAGTAACATCACTGTCAACAGTTTTAACTGAAGAATTTGGGAACATTGTGATGTGTCAATTCCATCTTTGTCTGAGTTTAGAAATGCAGTTGCATCTTTTTTAATTGAGCAGTGGAAAGAATATATTTTCTTTAGGATAGTTTGAGTGCATGTGGATTCTCGAAATACCAACAGCAGTAAGTGATGCTAAACAGCCTTATTAATATTGACTTGTCAGAGAAATGGATGTTTACCACTGGGGCCACAACCACAACGTCACACTTTACCAGACTAAACTGTGGTTTAATGTCTGAGTTGAACACAGATCATTTGTTGAACGATGCATGACAGAAACCCCTGTTGAATGTTACATATTGATGATAATTAGCAGTTTCATTTTTACCTGATGTCACAGAATATGTGTCTAATGGGTTGGTATCATTTTTCACAGTGCTGGGCTGGTGTAGAGATAAAACAGTAGCTGCCACTACACGTGTTAATATGTGTTTTCTTCTTTGTGTCAGTGTGTGTGAACTTCCTTGGGAAGTTTTACCAGTCGCTTAAGGACAACGATGTAAAGTTCAACAGCGCAGACATTGAGAAGGCCCTCACCAAGAGCTGCGGAGAGACTAAAGGCAAAGAAAACCGCTTTGTAAGTAAACTGCAGATCAAACTCTCTGTTTATTAGGCACAAAATGCAAAGTCAGATTCTTTATGTGCACATTTTACAGCAAGTGCTAATGTGGCAGGTGTAAACATATTGAGGCTCAAATAAATATGACTTGTGTTTTACTGAGTGGCTCTTAGGTGGGAACAGGAAGCAGAGTGGTTTTAACAAAAAGCTTCTTTTCATTAAAACCGAAGTGTCAGAAACATGCAGACCAGTAGCTGCTGGAGGTCATGTTGTAGGGCTCTCCCAGTGCTCCTCCTGTTCCTCCTGGCACAAAGTGTATCACTAATTGCAAGACTGCTTCCTTATAGATCTTTTATGTTTGAAACAGTTGAGCTACATTTGTCTCCTTGTTCCACGTGTTGTACAGTGTTACTACATTGGGGCAACGAGCGACGCAGCCACCAAAATTATCAACGAGGTGTCCAAACCGCTCAGCTACCACGTCCCCGTGGAGAAGATCTGTGAGAAACTCAAGAAGAAGGACGGTCAGATCTGTGAACTGAAATATGGTGAGAGCAACAAAGTTCTGTTTCTACTTGTCACTTAAAATCCCTGCAGTGGCGTTTCATTCATGGACGTGAGACATTAAATGAATGTATTCGACTGGAGTTGGCTGTAAGAATATTAAACCGGGCTGTCACAATGCATATGAATAATGAAAGTAATGAGAAAGGGTCAATATCTCCCTCATCCTGGCAGCGTCTCGTATATAGTGAAAGTGTTTGCTTGATTCATGTTCATGATACTTGCTGTGTCACAGCATTGATTAACGATGACGCCAATGAGCCAGTGCTTAACAGATGACAGGAGTGTTTTAGATTTCAGGAAGCATTGTTTATTTTGTTTCAACATTATTTTTATTTATTTTATCTTGGGGTGTAGCAGAGGAAAAATAATCAATTCACATTAGAATCGCGATTCATATCTTCTACAATTCTAAATCAATCCAAAAATACTAAAAATCGATTTTTGTGATAATGTTAACAGAACGAAAAAAGTGGAACTCAACCATGAAGCCAGTGTAGCACACGGACAGCAGACGGCGTGCACAGAAGAGTTGTGTTAACTTGGTTTTCATTTCTACTTTGCCTTAAATTTTTGTTATTGCACCATTTTTATATATTTCTGCTTGATTAAGAGTGTGATTTGCAGTGGCACACAGGACTCTCTGAACCTTTTTATGTTTTAAACGGGATGATAAATGAACTCAAAGTAAAAGTTTCATACCTTAAAATGTCAGAACTTCCTCTTCACTGCTCTGGTTTCATCCACCACCTTGGGTTTAGAGCATCCAGGCAACAAAGGGGTGGTGAGAAGTAACAGTATACAGAGTGTTTGATCATGTTTGATGCTTTGTTTCTCTTGTGACGTCGTTTATTCGTGAAGCAATTTGTAACCTTTGGTTTGAAAGGTGATATTTACACACTCTTGTGTGTCCCATGTAGACAAGCAGCTGGACCTGACCACAGTGGACCTGAAAAAGCTTAAAGTGAAGGACCTGAAGAAGATCCTGGAGGAATGGGGCGAGTCCTGTAAAGGCTGTGCCGAAAAGTCCGACTTCATTCGTAAAATCACAGAGCTCATGCCCAAGTACGCCCCTGCAGCCGCCAAAGCACGGACAGACCTGTAACGAGGAACAAACACGCAGCTCTGGACAGACTGCTGTCCAGCAAGAGGGCCCAGGAGAGGAGGAGGGGAGATTTGTCTTGGTTATGTTTGTCTTGGTTTTTTGAGGGAATGCACTCATCTGGTAACCCTAAAGACTCAGAAGCATACAGTAGATGTTAGTGTATACATATGAGGCTGGAGTTTTAAATGAAGGGTGAGGAGAATGAACAGTGTTTGCAGTCACAGAATGCAAGGTTGGGGTGGTGTTCATAGCACCGGAGCACCGATTAAAGGGGACAATGAAGCACTTTGGGAGCAAGTTTCTTGCTTAAGTTGTCAATATATTTCTCAGTAAGCTGCTAAAGAAGTGACATTTGACTAAATTCTCCAACACTGTAAGAAACTATTTGCTTGAATGCACAACAGCAGACTGTTTGTCGTTCAGTGTGCTGCCCAGGACTTCCCACCTTGATTGGAATCACAAACCCACATCTCCAGCCTCGACCACTGCCACTCTGATACCCGCTGAGTCAATGCCAAGATACTTCCTGGAAATGGATCATGTTTTGAAGAATGTGTTCAGTTTGCTGTAATCCTGTTCAAGTAAAATTTCCATGACGTCGTGTGGAGGATGACCTCTGACACTTAAAGGAGTAGTTTGACATTTTGGGAAATCTTCTTGCTGAGAGTTTGATGTGAAGGTTTCTCACTGTCTTGTCTGTCTGATATAAAGCTACAGCCAGCAGCTGGTTAGCTTAGCATGATGAGTAGAAACAAAGAACTAACCTGGCTCTGCTTAAAGGGTAAAAAAAAAAACAAAATCCATGTTTAAAGCTAACTTTTTTTTTTTTTTTACCTTGTTTTAATCTGTACGAAAAACAAAGTGTAAAACAGTTTTCCATTAAATGAGCATGCTTCCCAAAATGTCAAACTGTTGTCAAAGCCCAGATTAATGTAAATACAAGCTGATGACCACTGCTGTGGAGACATCCAGATGTCCTACACTCTCCCCTTTGAACCTCCAGTTTAGTCTTTTATTTTATTTTTTTTTTTTTACTCGTGTTTCTGTTAACGAAGTCGCCCATATTCCAACCCAGACTCACAATGGGACACAATGTGTAGTTATTAAAAAGAAGGATTAAATCAACTGTTTGCTTTTCCCTTATTTGTGACACAGCACCGTGGGCCCTTGGAGAGCTAAACTTTGTTTATGGAAACGTCCTGAAGCAGCAAATCATTTACATCTACTCCAGACAAATGCAGGACCTGCCTAGCGAGTACATTTGACATCAGTCAACATAGTGAGACAGGTACTGGAAATGGCTGTTTGGTGTATGGACGTAACTTTGAAGCAGCCCTGGTAACAACGAGGGACTAGTGATCTGGTCTTGTACTTGTAGCTTCTCCCAAGGTGAGTTTGGCTCAGACGACATGGAGTATGGGTGACTTATGTTTTACTAGTTTTTGACACAGGAAGGTACATCAGTCCCTCCACTGTCAGCAAAATAGAAGTATTTAGGTGAGATATTTATTAATGTTTTTTAAATTTTCCTGTTTATCATTCCAATAAGTGACTATTGCCTTCCTGCGTTGTTTTGGTCGGACTGGTCACGTTCCAGGTGGTTTCTGTACCGCTGCTGTGAGACCTGTGAACGCCACCTCTGCCCACCTGTCACTTCCAAGCAGCGCTGGGTCCACTTGCAGTATAATCCAGTCAGGAATTGGATAATGCAGTCCTTGAAATTTAAAATAAAAACAAGAAAATTGACTCTGTGTGAGCTGATCTTTAAAGATGTGTTCCCACTCGCACACATGTCACAAATTAATCTGTGCAAGAATATTTTTGGTTCCCAACCCCCTACACACGCCGACTGCTTTGTCTTCAGACAGGATTGATATTTTAGTGTTTGATGTTAATAAATGGTGTGTACTAAAATTACATGATAAAATGACTGCTTCATATGAGAAATCAAAACTTAACACGTTACAAAGTGACTTCTGTAAAGCCCAGCCATTTGTTAGAAACTGTACTATTCTACTTTTTCATTAAAATATGATACAACTCAGTCTAGAATAGAAGATGGTCTGATTTCCTAGTGTTCCACTTGTATGACAAGGATTGAAATCAAATGATCTAAACCTGATGTATTCATAATACAGAACAAACCTTTAGATCATAAGAGGAACAGAGCCAGGTTTGATTAGCCAAGTCATATTTAAGTCCTAAAATCTAAAGAACTGTGTTCACAAACCGTATTTCTATATTAGTGGTAGAAGTGGCGCCTTTTGCGAAACCCAGTCCTTAAACCGACAAACTGTAGGTGTCCCTTGTTGAGATTGCTGCATAATGACTTACTCAGTCTTGTTGTCCAACTGATTTTACGGTTTTTCTGCTGGTGGATTGCTGTGATGGTTTCAGCTGCTTCAGGGTTGTACTTCTGTTTTACTCAGAGGACAGTTCGATTCAAAATGGGTATGTTAAGTGTTTGGTAATGATCAGCTGCTTAAAGCTGGTCTGGTGCTGCTTCTCTCAGGTAGAATGAATAAATATTTCTCAGTCTACTCATCACTAAATGCAGGTTTTCACCATTGTCTTCTCTTTGCATGACTAGCTCTAAACATGCCCTTTCACATTTTCAAATTGAGCTCTGTCCTTTAACAAACAGCTTCCTAAATGTATCTCCTAACATAATGACAGTCTTGTTGTGTACATGCTGGCACTGAGTGAGTGTATTTATATAGTTCTACCCTCAAGTGCATCTAAAATTCCGTTGTATAATTTGTACAATGACAATAAAGTGTCTACCTATGAAAGGTGGATGGCATCAGGTTATAATGGATTTTGGTCAAGGGTAGGGTCCAGTTTACAAAAAAATTAAATTTGAGCAAGAACAACAATATTAATAAAAATATATTTTCATAAATAAAATACAATAAAAAAAACAATAATGGTTTGTTTAAATTCTAAAATTGATTGGACGTTCACAACAAGCGTGTTACGTCATGACGCCTGGAGCTGCGTCCCATAGTCCCCGCCCTCCAAAGGGAAAGCGCACATTCCCATTGTCCAAGATGGCGGCGTTGGTGTCAATCCTCTGATGCTGATATGTTTTTAAACGAATTTATGTTTTTATTTCGAAATTTATGCCGACATTCAGTGTTTGGAGTGGCAGGATTGTTTTGCCGAAGCTGTCGTCTGCCCCGTTATTTTTGCTAACACCCACAGAATTCGCCCCTGAGCCGGATTCCCGTTGCAGGTTCTGAAAAGTTTGAGCTCCATCATCCTTTGAAAATGAAGAGGCAGGCCGGGAGAGACACTAGCCCGTCCAGGGCCATTGCTAAACGGATACGGGAGAGAGAACGAGAGAGTGCACGTAGAGAGGAACTGCCACCGCCGCCTCTGGCTCCGCTGGACAAAACGCTTCTCATCAGCAATCTAGGCTCGCAGGTCTCGGATGAGGACGTGGAGGACGCGCTGTTTCATGATTTCAAAAAGTTCGGGGACGTAAGCGTAAAGCTGTCGCACACACCGGAGCTGGGCCGGATCGCCTACGTGAATTTTCGACACCCGGAGGACGCCAAGGAGGCCAGGCACGCCAAATCCTCCAGGTTAGTTTTGGGTGATCGACAGCTTAAAGTTGAACCCATGTACGTTAGGAGGCGCAGTGTGACGCCGCCAGACGTTGGCTATTTACCTTTGCACGCACCATACCCCTACAGACAGCGCTCCCTCTCCCCGCCAGGGCCGGGGGTGAGTAACATCAGAGACCTCAGAGCCAGACACTATGCCCTGGAGACCCTGGGTCTGAGCAGAGAGAGGGAGAGGCTGTTGGATTATTATGGTATGCTGGATGAGAGGGGCCGGCCCTATGGCTTCCCTCCAGTGCCAGTAGTGGAGGATTTAAAGCCTGAGGATGATCAGAGGGCGACTAGCAACCTTTTTATTGGAAATTTGGATGGTAATGTCACAGAAGCTGAACTGAGGAGGGGTTTTGACAAGTATGGAATCATTGAGGATGTTGTGATTAAACGCCCAGCACGTGGACAGGGTGGGGCATATGCTTTTGTCAAGTTTCAGAACCTAGACATGGCCCACCGGGCCAAATTGGCCATGCAGGGACGGCTGATCGGTGGCAACCCAATAAAGATTGGTTATGGCAAAGCTAATCCCACCACCCGGCTCTGGGTGGGTGGCCTTGGGCCTGGAAACTCCCTTGGTGCTCTCGCTCGGGAGTTCGATCGCTTTGGAAGCATCAGGAACATTGACTATGTTAAGGGAGACAGTTTTGCTTACATTCAGTATGAAAGTTTGGATGCTGCACAAGCCGCCTGCACCCAGATGAGAGGGTTTCCTTTAGGCGGCCCTGAGAGGCGTCTGAGGGTGGACTTTGCTAAAGTCGAGGAAAGCCCCTCTGTCCGTCCATTTCCCCCTGGTTACCAGCCCCCTGTCACGCTCCCCTCCCATTATGACCTCCTTGGGGAGCCCTACAGCCGCCATCGCAGCCTGGAGCGGGAGCTGAGGGGAGCCAGGGAACGCTCATCACCACCCTCTCACAGCCTTCTCTCTCAGAGGGAGAGAGAGAGGGCCCTACTGGAGAGAGACTATCCTACCAGCCCCACCCGTAGTCTGGAGAGGAGAGTGGGAGGGGTGGAGGCATTTGGGAGGAGTGGGAGAGGAGTGAGGAGCCGCAGCAGGAGCAGGGAGCGGTGGCTGAAGGAGAGGGAGGAGAGGAGGAACAGGAGAAGGAGCAGGAGTCTGTCCACTGACATTCAGACAGAGGAGAAGGAGAGGGGGAGGTCGAGGGTTCGAGGCCCAGGAGGGGCTGTCTCTCCCGATGCAAGCCCAGACCGAGCACGAGTCCGAGCCCCAGACTCCACCACAGAGCCAAGAGACCACTCCCCAGACAGCGGTGGAGGGGGCCGTCACTCTGCCCCCAACGAAGAAGATCCACCATCTGGCCGCCACCACAGCAAGAGGTCCTCCAGCGAGCGCTTCAACAACCACCACCATCGAAACAGTGAGGTTGCCGCTGCCAACTCCCCCGCCCTCCACACGGACACCTCGTCGTCTCCGAGCACCCTGTCCGAGTTCGCTCAAGCCTCTCTTTCCAAAACATGGCACGGCTTCTTTGCTCTGAAGAACAGCAGTTTCCCCACAGACCTGTACCTGCTGGAGGGGGGCTCCTCATTCTTCAACAGGGTGATGAAGGACAGTCTGAAACTGCAGAGCCAGAGCCAGAACCAGCCCAGCCAGTTGAAGATCGCCCAGAGGCTCCGCTCAAACCAGACCCGACTTGACGAGGTGTCACGTCGCATTAAACTTGGGCGGCCTGACGGTTTCGCCATTTTGTTGGCTCTGCAGGGCCCCATCGACCGCCAAGCCCCTGCCCCTGAGCTGGGGCTGCAGGTGCGCCTGCTTCGCCACCTGGTGACCTACCTACGGAACAAAGAAGCAGCTGGAGTTGTGAGTCTACCTGCTGCAAAAGAGGCGGGGCCTGGGGCGATGCTGTACGCCTTCCCCCCTGGAGAGTTCTCACAGCAGTACCTGCAGGCTGCCAAAAGGACTGTGGGTAATCTGGATGAGGAGCACATGGTGATTGTGATTGTCAGTGACACTAATTGATTATGTACAGACACTTAAAGGCAGGCACACACACAAACAGACTCACCTGGTGACTACAGATACTTCCATGTTGTTTTTTAGAAAAAAGCATTTTATTGTTTTATTCAGTGTCTTATGAAAGAAACACGATATGAACACTACATGTTTTACTCTCTCTTCCTCTGTCTTTGCTTTATGTTTGCTTCTATCTGAAGTTCAGCAAGTTGTCACATTTGCAGGCAGAGAATTTTTACGCTGTGGGTTTTAATCAAAGTGAAATGATCCAGATGTGTGGACTGCTGCACACACAGGCAGCACCACTGCTAAGCTCTAACATGCTACACTACATCTGCCGGGTTTATATGCTTGTTTACTTTTTTGTTTTTCTTTTACCTGACTTTATCAAGTTCTGCATGTCCAGTGCATGTGGGACTAGGAGGTTTTATACAGAGCGACTCTACGGCAAACTGACCAGGAATGTCCTGGCTCAGGCCGCTCTACTTAGCCCCACCCACTGGCTCCTACTGGCAGGGTGAGACTGGGGCGATGTCTCGCTTTTGTTAAAAGCACCAGTAGAGACAAAAGTGAATGACCCAACCCATCCCTGCCACTGTATATTTTACATAGTTAGTGATTTTTTTTCAATTGAACCATTCCAGTTCTTTTATTTTAAAAGGTGTGAGTGTGTTTGGTCCGTTGTTGCATGCAGGAAAAGAAAAACATTTATATTTTGTCTTTCTCAAAATGTTTCTCACTATGCTGTCATCACTTGGGGTGTTTCAGTTTGGAGGACTTACATGTTCAGCTGTTATACTGGTGCAAGGTCAGTTTATATTACAGGTTTGGATTTTATATTCTATAAAAAAAAAAAACTGGAATCGATCAACGCTTTTCATCTGCCTCCGCGTTAGCTTCAAGAGGTGTCGGTCTTTTCAGCCCTGCTCGTCTCTGAAGTCAAACATTCATATGCAGTTTCAGTGAAATGAAACCGTGGTGGTGTTTTTCAGAATCAGAAGAATTGATGAGAGTTTCACATGGTTGCACCAACTCTAAGATGGTCTCTGTAAAGATACAAACAACATGTACACCAGCAGCCAGACACCGAGAGGAGGTTTCTTGCGTTAAAGGGACTTTTTCCTTCCCTCTACCGCCAAGTGCTTGGTCTGGGGGATTTGTTGGGTTGTCCTTATAATACTGTCAGGTCTTGATGTGATTATGTAAAGTTCCCTGAGATTGTTGTAGAATTGAAACTGAACTGAGCTGAAACCCAATTCTAGCGCTCCCAGGATGTGTCTTTAGCACTGATGTTTTGGAGTTTGTATAACTGAACTTAACTGAATTTTAGTGCCAGGATAATATTTTAGGGACAAATACACCGACTTCACCGGCAATCCTCTGTTCCCACCTAGATGATGGACGAATACAATTTTAGAGGCTAAAGAATTAAGAAGTAGAAAATTTGGTGCTCAAAGACGACGGCCACAGACTTTTTCTGTTGTCATGGAAACGAGTGGTTTTTGTGTGTGTGTGTGTGTGTGTGTGTGTGTGTGTGTGTGAAAGCTGGGAGCCATGGAAACCTCTGTCCAGCAGCTTTTCACCTGCTCTGTGTCTGTCGTGGGACTTGTGTGCACCAACCAATTGAAAATGTTTGTGTTTTATGGGTTGCAAGTAAAGATTAGCTTAAAATCTACAGTCCTCGGGTGACATCTTCAGATTTTGTCCCACCACCATCCAGAACAAAAAATTGATGATTATTTTATCAGTGAAATGTCAGAAAGCGTCCAGGTAGCAACTTCAACCCTAAAACGATATTCAGAAAACAGCAGCAGCTCTTTCCACTTATAAAGATGGAATTACCACGTGTTTGGCATTTGGCTGGAAGATAACAGTCGGTTAGCTGATTACTTTTCAGACGATAGGGGAAGCAGGTCATCGACCAGTTGGTTCAGCTTTCCAACCAGTAGCTTCTGCAGAGTCACAAAATGCTGCGCCTGCCTACTTGTGCTGTTCTGTGTGCTGGCATCTAAACTTGCCATGTTACTTTGGAACATGTTTTTAATCTTTTATTCTGTTATATCAACGAGCAGGTGTCACAGCTAACAAATACCACACCTGCTGTTCTTTTTCAGGTGCACTGTGTTTGGCACTAAATACCAGTGGTGGGTTTACTCAAGTACTTAAGTAAAAGTAGCTGGTTCTCATACTTCATTTTGTTATTTCTACTCTATGTACTTTGTATTTCACTGTGTTTCAAATGGAAATATTGTCCTCCACAATATTTATCTGAAAGCAGTAGTTATTGTATGGATGTGTTGCAGAAACAAGCCTCCTTATTAAGTCATTTTTGTCTGGAAATGAGTCCCTAAACTTTTTTTTTTTTTGTAAAACATGAAAAATCAGCCAGTGAAGCGATATTACAACTTGATTTCAGCACAGTTCAGCTTGCTTCTGAAACTTTTACAACACAAAAGACTTTTTTTGGGTGTCTGAAACTTAAAATCAGTGGTAATAATCCTAGGATTCACTGTTAAAGCCATTCAGCATCAAAGTACTTCATCTTTTGTGGCTTAAAGTACATCTATCAGTATGTATGTACTTGAGGTATGATTTTGAATGCAGATATTTTACTTGTTATAGAACATTTTTCCTTTGTCAATATACAGGGTGGGCCACGGAAAAGTAGCCCGTGTACTTGAGAGCATAGTATTGGAGGCGGGCTACTTTTCCATGGCCCACCCTGTACTACTGTTACTTAAGGATCTGAATACTGCCACCACTGGTAACTGTCGTTTTCCACCGTGCTGTCTTAAACATTCGATTCAAAACAATGTGGTCATGTAACACTAAAACTGTTGATTTGGGGGAAATGCATCTCTGCTTGTTCCATCATAACACCACTCTCAGAAGTGGCCCAGTTATGTACAATACACTGTTAAAGGGAGTAAAAAACACTCATTTTTTAAATAAGAGCTGCCCTTGATGAGTACTTCCTCTCCCTTTCCTGCCTCATGTAAACCAGTGGTGTATGGTGTTATGTCTGATGATGTACATGGTCCAGGTGCAGTACAAATCCATGATGACAATCGGGTTTTGTACATGGATTCTCTTTAGTTTTGTTCATGTGTAAACACAGAAACATGTATTCTGTATTGGAAAAAAATAAACATTTTATGCTCTTTCTAAGTAGAGTGTGCCATTTTTCATTTTACTTTGTACTCCACTCATCTATGTATCAGCTTTAGTTATAAGGCAGATTTCAGATTAGGATTATTTTTTATTTAAGGCTAAGATAAAAGAAAATATAGAAAATACAAGACATTGTTAAAGAAGAGATCTTTTTAGCTGTCACAGGTCAGATGTTTCTGATTTCACAGCAGTTACAACAAACAGAAACAACAGATTTGTGAATCAGGTTTTTCTTTCATCCTTCCTTCCTGCTCCATTAATCATCTTATGACCCCTTGATTTATCCCCCTGACCTCTAGGTTGACCCCAGGCTGGGAGCCTGTGCATTAAACTGTAACTAAAAGTTACTTTACTTCAGCCAGCTACAGCAGATAAAATACTGCTCAAACATCTGGATATATAGTATTTTTAAATAAAAAATACCAAGCAAGAAAATAAAACGAACATATCTTTTTGTTCATTATTAAAATATTTAACAATATTGCACATTTACACACATTTATACAGTTTTGCCATCATGTATCATTATGTTCACAGCTGTGACTTTTTTTTTTACTTGATGCAAAGGCTACATAAACATAATTGACTATTGGATTTATAAAATTAAATCTGTTCCCTTTACATGTAATCCTACTTCATGTGTCTTTACAATTCCCATAATGTTGCATAAGTATTAACTATCACTCAAGGAGGTTAAAATAAGTACATTTACTTTTAATACTTTAAAGTATATTTTGCTGAAAATACCTTTGGATTGGGATTAGTAGTAATGGATTAGTAGGATTTTTAATGCAGCAGTTGTAATTAAGTGTTTTAGATAGTTCTACTTGTACCTTTATTTAAGTAAAGGACCTGTGTACTTCTTCCATATGCTCATTGTTTATTTTCCATAACAGACATTTATTTGCCAGCCACATTCCGGAAATGGGGAAACAGCGCCCCTCTGGGCCACAGCGGCAGCCTCGTGTTATCCGTCGTGTGTGGTCAAGCAGAGTATAGCAGCCTTAATTGAGTCCACACCGGCGGGAGACAGGTGAGGAGCGTCCTGTGATTACCATCCATTTTCTAAACCGCTTAGTCCCAAACGGGGTCACGGGTCCTGTGATTACAAACTCGTGAAATGTCAAAGGACCAGAAGTAGTCACAGTCGTGTCATGTCGTTTGAGACGAAGCCGTGAAGTTACACACCATTGACTAAATGTCATGAACTGTCACACAACAAGCAGTAAAAAGTTCACGCTTGACTCAAAACACTGGGAGAGCGAGTTTGTGGCGACGGAGTTGGCCAAACACGGTGGGACATGATGAGACATGATGAGACATGATGAGACATGGATACCTCCGTCCCTGACAGACATGATGGACTTCGCCATCAGAAACCGTGAGTCAAAGACATAACGTTACTGCTGTTTGTGTCCTTCGCCGTGTGGCTGTGTGTGTCTTGTATCAGTGTAACGTTACCGATGTGTGTGTGTGACCCGAAGCTGCTGTGACTGGGATTCATTTCCGATGTTTTTCACGGGGACCTGTTTGTTGAGTGTGGTTTGTGAAGCAGTGGGTCTGCTGGTTGTCGTAGGTGATGTTCTGATGTGGTGCACAAAGACAAAGAGCAGTGAACTTGGAGTAACCCGGACAAGCCTTGTGTCTGTAGGCCAATCAGGGACGGATTAAGAGAAAACGGTCTGTGTGTGACAAACCATCAGTGATGGGGCGATACACTGGTGGATGTGTGTTGTTGGCTGTATCTTGTTTTTTGTGTATTGTATTTAAGTGACGGCTGACTACAAGCCAGATTTCCCCTTGGAGACATGAAAACCATTTCTATCTATCTATCCATCCATCCATCCATCTTTACTCCACTCTTCTAGCCCCTGTGGTTCCCCGCTGCTCAACTGATGCCAGTCAGGGCATGTTTAAACTCAAGGGGGCAGCACAGGCAAAGGAAACGGACCGACTCCAGCTGCAGGTACTGATCCCATCGTTCCATAACAGTTGGCGCCTCACAGGTTTTCACTCAGACCTCAAACCAAACTGACAAACTGGTTTTCAGTTTCCTCTTCATATCTGCTGCTGTTTGAACCAAGAGAGAAGTAATTTGTTGCATTTTATATTTAGCTTTTTAAATGAATCAGTTACATTAACAAGTCAGAGACACAACTTTGACGTTCACTGGGGAAAATACTATGAGCCTATTTTTGTGTATTGTGGTTTTAATGCTTTGTTGCTTTTATGTAACTTTTTATTTTAAGACTAAATGTTCTTTCTGGCTTTTGACTCCTCACCTGACTCCAAAGGAGAGCTGCACAAGAATTCCTAGATGCATAGACTGTTTGTGCATAAATGGCAAATAAAAATCTTGACTTGACTTGAACTTGTTTTCCCACCAGAATGGAAAGTAGTGAAATCATATCAGTGTGGGAGCTGAAAGTTAAGATAGGTGGGGGTGTATCGGGTGCAACGTACCATTAAACACTGAAGTATCAAGAGCAGGGACGGGCCAATCTCTCTCTCCTGCAAGAAAAAGCTGTCAAAATAATACTTTTCTAAAGTTCTGTCACTCAGGTTTTGTTAATCAGAATAATGAAGTGAAACAGTTAAACTGCTGTTAACAAACCTCAGAGTGGCTGTCTGTCTCTGGGTACTATTTAAAGAGAACTTGAGCTGATTAGCCAATTAATCGATTAGTTTCATCAACAGAAAATGAATTTACCTTTTTCCTTCATTATTTATTTTAAAATTAAAAGCACAAAATATTCTCTGGGCTCTGCTTCAGGAGCCAGAAGGGATCTTAGAAAGAGTGACAAAGGAGGGACCCCTGTCTTAGCGCAGATGGACAGGAAGTACAGGTGGTGTCTCCAGGTAGCAGCGTCTAATCAGCAGCACATCGGTCTGGATTGAACCTAACACAACAAAATATTCCCATGGCTGAGCTTGTTAGGTTTTTCGCAGTAACCTCGGGTTTCATAGCCAACTTCATGAAACAGCCTCAGGTTGGAGTTTTTGGCTATAGGGGTGAGTTAGTACCACTCTGACCCGCGCTGAGTGTGACGGACTTACAGATTGACTTTTTCTAGTGTTTCTCCCAGTTAATGTCGCAGTGGATAGTGAGTGAACCCCTCTGAATTATGTATACATTTGTTGTAAAATCTGGTCAGATTGTTATCTAAGTTACAGTAATGAACAAACACAATTTATCTGAACTGTAATGTTCTTGTCTGTACTGGACACATCAGTCAAAGCAACCTCTGGACTAATAAACAAAATCCTACTGGAGTCAGGAGTTAACAAACCTGGAGTCCAGTCAGTGAAACCAGTTGAGAGCTGTGTGCCAGAGCAAATTTGATTCATTAAACAGTCAAATATTGAGTTTGCATCTGCTGATGTGAACCATGCAAGACGTCTGAGCAGACACTGATCACCAGTTAGTGCAGAAGGTGTTCACACACCTTTTATAGCACTTGAGATATGAAGGACTGTGGAGCTGCAAACATCAAAACACTAACGCTGGATAAAGGCCCCTGAAGGGGCTGGTTTCTGCTGGAGACTTGTCTCAAACTCCCAGCACTGTGACATTTCTCTGATTCCTTTTGCAAACACCTGACCAGAGTTGTGTCCTGAGCTTTGAAACATGTTGGACAGACGTGTTTATTGTGTCACCAAGCTGCAGCAGAAAACCAGTCAGTTCATCTCATCCTCCACTGGTGATTCAGTTTCCCCGGTGTGTGGCCTCTGATTATGGAAACTCTTCCTGTTTGTCCCTCATTGTCTGTCTTTGTCTTCCTTTCCTTTGTTGCTGTACCTGTGCTCACATAGCCTGTTATGTCTGTGCGCTGCCTCGACAGCAGCATTAGCAGCAGTGATGGCACTGAGGCTTTTACAGCGATATAGGCAGGAAATGGATGGCTGATGAAATATTAACGTGGAATCATGGACGGGCCAATGAAATCCATTAGGAGGCTCAAATCAATGGGAGGAGTGTGTACAGCCGGACTCCCCCTCCCTGAGTAACCAACCCGGATGGACATAACGGAAGTGGAAATACAGACAGTGAATAGGTGGTTGGAGTCCAGTGTGTCTGACAAAACCTGCCCCATAAACCTCCACATTTATTATTGTAACCACGACGACAGGTCTGGTGCCTGATAACGGCCTACTGGGAGGCAGAGTAGGGCCTTACTGACAGACTTCTGTGGTCCCAGCAACTGATAATGACCACGGAAAACGTTCAAACCCCTTTTTATAATGAAGCCCTCAGATGATCAGAGCAGACAAAAACACCTCTGAGACGCTCAGGGTTTGAATGACGGGCTCCAGTAACTGATGCAGCACCAGCAGAGATCAGATGAAATGTACCAGGACACAGAATCGATGGACAGCGCAGACTACCAGAAACCTCTCCATGTATCCCAGATACAGATGTCAATAGGGCTCAGGCATATCTCACCCTTTCCCCAGCACAGCAGAAACCTACACTGGCTGACTGAAAAGCACTGCGTTCTTCTCATCTTCCCCTCATCATCCTCGTTTCTCTTCTCCACGGCTTTGTCATCCTCCTGGTTTCTCTTATGGCATGTCGTCCTTGTAGTTGCCTCCATCTCTTGTTACCACATGTTTTAGCCACGTTAGCTCCACTGCTTATGGATGGATCAGATATTGGACGGACTGCTGTGACATGTACTGACATTCATGGTCCCCAGAGAGTGATGACAGCGGTGATGTGTCTGTGTTGGTGCTATGTAAGTGCATCCCATAGTAATGGTAGTGTAATGTAGAACACACAACAAATGCCATAACCTCTGTGTTATTAACACACAGCCTGACTAAAGACTCCATGACTCCTGTATCTGTTTCCAGATGTTGAGTTCTACTGTAAAAAGTAGTATAAATCCTTCAGCGTCTCCAGAGGGAGCTGTGTGAAGGATCATCAATGTCCTCAAGTGATGTCACTAGACTTGGTGTCAGTTGGGTGGGAACACTGCAAGTTTGAAAAGT